TCCCTTCACTGCTTGTGCATATGATTGCCCTGGTTGGATCAGCCTATTCATGGTGTTCGTTGATCCACTATCCTTTACTTCACCTTGTAGCTTCCTGGATAATGATGATTTCCTTTGCCTATCATTTGCAATCTTCACTCTAATCTTATACGAGCCAATCCAGATCTCGTTTAGCTTCCTTTCCATTTGCCTCTTATTATTGACCCCTGTTAGCCTCACAAACCCAAACCTCTTCCCTCGCTTATCATGTTTTCTCAAAAGATACACATCAACAACCTTACCATACCTCTGAAAACAATTCCATAAAAGCTTAGCCTCCAATTCCTCTGGGAAATTATAAAAGAAGAACATCGTTGACCAGCCGAAACACTGTTTATTATAACCTGCCACCCTGTTTCTGTGCCCTTGCAATTGTCTGTAGCCACCGTCTTTCCTTTCTGCTGCACCCTTTGCTGTAACTCGCATACTCTCCATTTTTGTTCTCAAGGTTGTATCTATGTTGTCGCTTTTTCTTTTTTTTTTTATATCTCTGTTTCATCATATATATATATACACACACACTCAACTCGACTAAATTCTTGCTTAAAAAAAATTATCTTTGTCTCATGCAATGCCTTTTTCATTATCAATTTGAGTATAGCAGATGAGCATACAAGGTAAAATCTTCCTGAGCTTTGCCACATAGCTAGCAACGGCAACAATGTGATCTGCCGGCAATTTCATTGTCATCACGCCTCCTGACAAGTTAAGTTGTTTTGTAAGGTTGGTTTAGTCTTTAAGTTTAGGCCCTATCACTTTCGAAAATTAATTTTTTAAAATGTGCATAAGTCACTACAAGAAGGTAGGCTTTTTATGACTGAAAATGGTGACTAATGTTAAGTTGGTCACTAATATTCTTTATATTTATCATTAATTTGAGATAATAGTCACTAATATTAATTTTTAAAATTATAATACACAATTTTAATACAAAAATTATATTATGTCTCAAAAGATTCATGACAATAAATCACCTAAATTTGTGACTGTCAAAATCATTACAATAAGATAGCTATTAGTTATTAAAAAAATATAGGTAACAAATTATTAACTTTTGTCACAGATACTATATTTTACTCGTGACTAAATTTATTATTCATAACAATTATATTTTGTGATAAAATATATAATTTGTCACAAAAAAATCATAAAAAAATAATGAATTTTTTAAATAAATAAATTTGTGACTGCAATAATCATCACAAATTAGCCAAAAAGAATTTTATTAAAATATAAATTTTTAACTGAATTAATTCAAAAAAATGTGTCCCACCAACATCTATATTCTCAAATAATTTTCTATTTTTTTGAAACAACAAAACCCATGGCAGATCAAAGCTCCTAACTTGGTCAACTATCCTAATTACTATTATTCATGAAATATTTAATTATTCCTTACACCAAAATTTAAAGATTTTACACGTTCTTATGGACTGTTTTTGTTTAACAACAATTTTCGTTTCTGTTTAGTGGTTAGAATGTTCTTAGATCAATTTGCGCCCACTTCAAGAATAATCTCTCTTTAGTATGATAAAAAACAAGTCATTCACACCAGGACTAAGCGAATTTATGAGAAATTACTTCTTCATTAACTTTTCAAAAAAATCAAATCTTGATCAACAAAATAATTAAATTATAAGGGATACTCATACCCTTAAAAACAAAATTACATTGGCATTGAATTGTTGTACCATTACTAACTCTACATAAGGGTACTACATTCAAAACATCTTCTTCTTCTTTTTTTTTTTTTTTTTTTATTTGCACCGTACTGTTGCAACTAAGGTGTGGAATTTGTGCTTTTAATGGTAGGGTTCGGATCCGACTTTAGCTGGCAATGTTCTGAACTCTTTCCAACAGTACATTTAATAAACAAAGAAAATTGATATGATATATATTAAGATAACGCTTATGATGATTCACGGGTAAGAGTACCCCTTATATTCTAACAAATAAAGAAAATTTCTTGTTGTTTAAAAAAAAAAAAAATTGAATACAAGCATACAATATATTATTTTTCACTTTTAGTTAACTATAACTTAAAATTGATATTTGTATTTAGGACCATGATAGGTGCACTTGCCAATTCAACACTCAACAGAACAATGTTTGTTAATCAATTTGGAATATGGGTTTGAAATACTAGACTCGTTACTAAATAGATTGCAAATAGGTGCCTCCTCTATTCATCTTCTTCCTCATGAACCCAACACTTTTCTGATACCTTTCTTCTACCGATTTTTGGCTACATTTCTCTTCCCCCTTCCCTTGTTGTGATTGGGTTTGCACCAACACAATTTTGTGTTCGCACAAACCTAGATAATTTGGGTTTAGGATAGAACTGGGTTCCTCACGAACCTAAATCTAACCCAGCACACGAACCTAGCACACAAACTCTTAGACCTTTGAGGATTTTGGCTCTCCTCCTCAAAACCCAAACCTAAAAATTCCCAAAACCTAAGCCTCTTTTCACCCAAATTTGAGTTGAATTGTATCATCTCCTCCCTCAAAAAGGCCAATAGTGCCTTCTCTATCACGATCGCTTTTAGGGGTGGGCAAAAATCGGGAAATTGTAATTTCCCGTCGGTATGTACCGAGCTTTCGGGAATCGGTAACAGGACATGTACCGATAGGAACAATAAACCGGTATAAAAATGATACCGATTAATATTTTGGGACGGTATTTGGATTCTAACTTTAAAATACCGAATACCGAATACCGTACCAAATACCGTATATTATAATTAAATATTTTAAATATATTTATAAATTAATTCATTAAAAAATTAAAATAATTAAATATTTCTAATTTAATTGCAAATACAAAATAGTCGTCGTCAAAAGACAAAACCCTTAATATTTTTATCAGTCGATCTACCTTCTTCTACGCTTCTACGGTTCTATCGACTGCGCTTGGCTCGTCTACGGTTTCCTCCTCTCACCCCGACGACGACTCTACCATTGCGAGCAGGCAACGACGACGACTGGCGCTGTGACCGACGACCAAATACGACCACCAGTAAGTCTAGAAACCAGAATACTAGAATAGTACACACTTTGCTTGATCTTTCTTCCAAAAATGGGTATGAATGTGTGATG